ATGTTCTTTTCTTCATCTATAATATCCGTGTAGAAATTGTTTGATCGCTATGACTGGGTTCTCCTGTTTCTGGTGTAATCTGAAGTGTTCTGTTGCCAGATATAGGGTCTTCCAGCAGCCAACCTCTTGATCCAGGAGAGCACAACCACCTGAAGTCACTTGATCTAGGCCTTCGTGTTGAGTCCGAGGCTCTACAGGAACATGAATTGTGATTACTGCAAACACCTTCGTAATCACCATTGAACTCTTTTCGAATCCTCTGCACTGTCTTCAGATTGGCAGCGAAACAAACTGAAATGTTCGTATTGGAGATACAGCATGCAGTTTCCAAATTTCTGACTGAATGAATTGCGTGATGGTCCTCTTTTTCTCACAGACGGTGCCCAACTGACTCTCAGCCGACAAAATGTAAAACAAACAAAGCGCATGCGCGAAATTTAAAATGTATAAAATGGCGAAAGTTTATCCATTGCACCCTGTATATATATATACAAGTTATATTGAAGACGACTGGCAAGAACATCTGGACAGTTTTTACACACTTCATGTCCTGAAAAGTAAACATATGTAAAATGCAAGAAAAAATAGTAACAACTTTAATCGTAATACCTTTTTATGAAAGAATTGTTGCTGCCCAAGTTCACACACAAACATGCATAGGCTCACTTATATTCATTTAAAAGAGCAAGTTAGCATTGGTTGTACAGATTATATATTTAAACAAAGATAGAACAACCATTTATAGCCTATGTAGAGTTAGGTAAATACCATAACACTCCTCTCTCTCTCAATAGATATTTAGAATCAAACAGGTAAAATACAGAACCTGAAAATCTATATATAAAATTCTGTGTCTTCCGTCAATTCATCCGTCTGCTGCATTTTCTAAAATAGCCATATATTGACCAATGAAAACCAAATTTTTGAAAGATCTGCAAACAGCTAAGGGAGTATATATTACAGTTGGTTTTGATAGGGTGTGTACAATCCATTTTCATTATTATTTTTGTTTTAAATTAATTTTTTCTTATTTAACATGCAAAATAATCCTACTGTTTGAAAAAAAGAATAATGATTAAAATAACAAATATTTCTTTAATAAAAATTCATTAATCTTTTGTGATATCTTTTCAAGTTTTTATATGTACAAGAAACAAGTGTCAAGTTCTCTCTGCGTTTATTAGAACTATAAAGAAATCTATAACGTGCATCAAAAAGTTTGAATTTGGCTCCAGAAAGAAAAATTTATGCACAGACAGTTCTATGTTGTATGCGCAAGTGTAAGAAATCAAAGAATTTATACTCTGCTGTTAAAAATCGGAAAGGAAAGAAAATTCTTAAAAAAATATTGTTTATCATGAAGTCTTATAAAATTAAATTGAATCTCTATCTATAAAAGGCAGTGTGTGTGTGTGTGTGTGTGTGTGTGTGTGTGTGTGTGTGTGTGTGTGTGTAACGAATGCACGGCAGCAATTTGCGACGGATTTGCACCAAAATTTACATGCACATGCTCCAAGTTAGCGGGAAGTCCAAAACCGACTTTGCATTTCCCAACTCCAATCGATAGTGGAAATAATCGATTTTTTCATGCTTCTACGGCAGTTTTCATATAGTTTGCGGCCATTTTCTAATGGCCAGAGTGAGAGCCAATAGCTGGCTGCCACGAATAGACAGGAAGATTCTATTGGCCAGCGTGAGAGCAAACAACTGATTGGCAAAAAAAAAAGAAGATCGATAGCTGCATTCGTCACAAGTGGGAAAAATTTAAATCTGCATGGCACTTTACTCCAATTGGCTCATTCGCTTGCTTAAACTCAACGTTGATTCTGATTCCGCAGAACTGGGTTGAGTGGGGAAAAGGATGTTGTTAACATTCTTTTTTCATTCGGTTTTTTCAGTTACGAGTCCTTTTTTAAAGCTGATCGTTTTGTGTTCATTTTGTTTAGTTCTTTTTTCGTAACAGATTTAATGTTTAGTATAGAGCTTAGAAAAAAATCGCAGTGTGAGATAGGCAAGAAGTAAGGCATGTAGCAACATCAGCACAGCAAAGGGAACTCCTTTAAAGGCAAGGAAGGGCAAAAATATTTTAAGTCAAGTAATAGCGATTGCTGTATCAGTCGTACGATTTTTGAATCAAGCCTGAGCAACGCCGGGCCATGCTGCTAGTTAAAGATATTATTAAAAAGCGAAGTATGGTTTTTTGTCAAAGTATTTTTGCAGACAAATCAACTCATTCAATTTATATCGATTAACTTGCGAAATTGACGAAAAGTAGAATTTGTAAATCTCCACAAAAATGTTAGCGATAATTTCACAAATACAAAATCCAGTGAAGATATAAAAAAATTCTACTACAAAAAAAAAAAAAAAAAAATCAAAAGAAAATCAATTCAAATCAACGTGAAAGTTATTCTGGGGTGGAGAGAAGCTTGTAGTTATACTTAAATTACTGTTTAATAGGAGATTGGAAATATTAATGAGACGGGCATACAGTGACAGCTATTTTAAAAGCTCACGACAGAATAGCTGAATGAAATGAATGAAGAAATGCATTCCTTATATACACCTACCATTATTTCTCTCACACAGGAATTATAAAACATGGACACAAGCAGTATGAAAGGCGAGATGCGAGCTAGGCAGGCTTACTTAAAATTTACCTAGGAGAAAACTGTCATGCACGTCGTGTTCTTTTGTGCGTTTCTCTCTCCACCTGATCATGTCTAGACTTCTATGGATTTACTGCAGCAAGTGGCGTTCATCATCCTACGAACTGACGTCACTCACCGTCACGTATCTTTCCCGAAGTGAGATAATCACGATGTCCTTCTCTGTACTTACATACCAAGAAGTACCTACTGGGAAACATTAGTCATGAATGAAAAAGAAAACATGAAGAAGGAATAGAAAATTAACTTTGAACAATTTACCAACAATTGATTTTGATGTGCAACAACCTTATGAAAAATTGGAAAAATTGTATAGTAAAGGAAATGGACAGAAGTTGTCGCTTGAGTTTAATGAAAAATGTTTTATATATATATATATATATATATATATATATATATATATATATATATATATATATATATATACGTCCTGTTGCTTGAAATCTGTATCGTTCATATATACCTTTTACATCAGCGTTGATGTTAAGGGATATATTGACCTTTACATAAGGATAATGATAATATATATATATATATATATATATATATATATATATATATATATATATATATATTCGTCCATTATTTTAAACCTAACGGTCGTTTTATTTTGAAATTTCTAATTTTAAATTCTATCGTAAATTTAAGGTTAATTATTTTATATTATTGATTTTTTTGTTTGATCTAGCATTACCTTTAATCAACTAACGGTTTGAATTTAAAATATATCCCCATGATTTTTTTGAATTTTCATATACGTTTATTCTTATTAGTCATCATAGTTTACGTATTGAGGAGGTTTGATTTCGTTTTTAATTTTGAAAATCAACTCTTTTTCTTTAATCAACACCATTACTAGATAAGACATCAGAAGTGTTGAAACAAAATGGTTATTTTTGAAGCGATGTTATAACATATTTATGTTATATCTTTTTAATAAATACTATTTAATCTGCTCTCTATTGAGCACTCCTAAGAATAGTGTTTTTGGTTATTGGAATTTTATTCCGTATACACCAATCGTATACTTGGATATATATATATATATATATATATATATATATATATATATATATATATATATATATGCAGGATATATCAAAAGATGTGTTGTATCATCTGTTAGTGTCACAGCTATGGCTAATAGTGAATTCCCAAACCCAAACAAAACACTATGAAGGTACAAAAATACATTTTTATAGTAAAAATATCAGCAGTCCATATTTATATAAAAAAAAAATTTAAAAATACATATTTATTCTAAAATGACCAAAATTCATATTTATAGCAAAATGTTGTGGCGCAAATAAAACACTGCCGGTAACACAAATGAACTCGGAAAGACGCCTTAAATAAAGAACTCAAACTGTGTCAGAATAAATCCGTTGGAGTCAATCGAGAACTTAGAATGACGAGTAGCCCAAGTGAAACATAATATCATAATTGCTTGGAGCGGATTATAACAGTGGTGACGAGAGATCGAAAATCATACGGGGTAGGAAAAAGCACTTTTTGCTTCGGTGCACGTGATAACCCTGATGCCGAGAAAATGTAAATGTTTATTTTTTCGGTGGGTGTAAAAAAAAGAATAAAAAAGAAAGAAGGAAAAAATAGATATTTTTATATATGGAATAATTATCAACCCGTGGTAAAAATTCAACAACAACAACAGCAACAACGGCAGTTGCTGAAACTCCAGAAACCACAAAATTTAATTGAAGTAATACGAAAGAAAACAGAAAGAAAAACCAAGTTCTTCCACTTCCAACGCGGTGGCAAATACCGTAGCTGAATTCGCATACACTTCAGAGGATGGAATTAGGTTTTCTGCTTATTTTAAAAGATACGAGCAAATTTTCAGAGACAAATGCAGCGACTGGGAAGACGAGAAATAAAAACATTTTTTTTTTGAGAAAGTTAGCACTCGTAGAACATGAAAAATACTGTAATTTTGTACTACGAAAAAAAAAAACAGGAGAAATTTGCTTTGATGAAACAGTAAATGTTCGAACTAAATTGTTAGCGAGAAGAGATAGTTATTCAATACCTGTTGGAAGTGTTATGAATCTGGCAAGAAAAGAAGACGAAGGCAAGATGGAATCATTAACAAGGAGTGTGAAAGATTCAATTTAAACGAACTTATTCCGGATATGTTTAAAGGTTTAATTTTCGTGCAATAGTTAAGAGAGAAGAAAGACGCAGAAATACGTACTAGAGTTATGACAAAAAAATGAACAGAATAAAAACTAACACAACAAGAAATATCGGACGGATATCAGAGAATCCTAAGTCTGAGACGCGATACCGAAAAAAATTGAAGATTGTGCATAGTAGGAAGTTCGAGTTTGTTCGGTTGGCATCCCGAGGTCGGCAAGCTTACGCAAAATGGAAGTTCGCTTAGTGTTGTCAATGCCATGTGCGTTCTTTCTATCGTTCTCTTTTTCTTTATTATTTGCTCGCTGGCTTGTTCCCACAGTCGCTTTAACTTTCATTTATCGTTCATTAAGCGTATCCTTCCTAATGCTTCCGCTTCGGTCTTAGCCGTTTACGTCGACGTCGTCGCCTGTCTTTTTTTCGTGTGCGCAGGCAAGGTATCGTCATTGTTCGTTCGCTCGTTTCATCGTTCACCCTTGCCTGTTCCACTCTGCTCGTCGTTTTCGCCGGAGTTGTCTTGCTTAGGGGGAGAACGCTTATCCGCACCGGTTTCCCAAATCGCTCGCGCGACCTCAAGGAATGGTTGTCGGACACTCTTCTCCCGGAAAAAAAGAAATAATTATCTCGCTCTCTTGCCACCCCTTTTTGCGTTAGAGCACCCTTTTACCGATAAAGGGCAATCGTGTTTCGGTAGGCAGAGGTGAGGACAGTGCTTCGACGGAAAATAAATTCAGAAAACCAAAGATAGTTTGTCTATGTGAAAATTAATATGGATGTAAAATGTAACTAGACAATGTTAGTGATATAAGAATAATCAGTGAAGCCACAGGGAAAGCATACGGAAAACCTATATTAAAAAGGACTTCGAAAATCGAACATGGCGTGTGGAGTAAGAAATTATTTTTTATTGATGAAATAACATGCAAAGTTTCATTTTGTATCAAGGCTTATGTCTTAAAAAATACTACCAACTTATTCGGTACTGACTGGATGCAATTATTTGAGTTGTATGAAGTACCTATACATATTTACTGAAAATATGTAAGTGGACAAGCTACCAGTTTAAAATAAAAATGTGTGTGAAAATTTAAAGGAAGAACTGTAAAAACGGTTTCGTGATATTCTTACCGATGAATTGGGGTCAGTGTCACCAAATTCAAGTGAAGAAGAGTCAACGTCAGTTTTAAACCGAAACAGAGTCTATCATTTGCAGGAATGGATCAAGTCAACGAAGAATTAGACAAAATTGAAAAATTGGTGTAATTGAAAACATTGTTCATTCAAAATGGGCAGCACGAGAAGATTCGGATTCGCACTGATTTTTCGCCAGGGTTAAATAACTGTTTAGAAAACTATGATTACATATTGTCAAGTTCAGAGGATCTTTTTTTTTTAAATTTAAACGGTAGAAATATTTTTTTCAAAGCTGGCTCTTTCTGAAGCGTATTTGCAAATACAGGTTGAAGAATAATATTCACAGTTAATTACTATAATTACTCACAAGGGATAGTATAAGTTCAACAGACATCTTTTGAGGATAGGACTGGCTCCAGCAATATTTCAGCATGCCATGGATGCTATACTTGCAGATTGTGATTTCGCAAATTCTCATGTGGATGATATATTAACAGTGTATGTAAGGAACAACATATCGGGCATGGGGAAAATGTTTTTGAAAAAAAATACCCGAATACGGGTTCCAACTCAATGAGGAAAAGTATGAATTGTTTTTGCCTAAAGTCAAGTACCTAGGACAAATCATTGGCACGAATGGTCGTCATCTAGATCCGTCAAATGAAAATGCAATTAAGAATATACCTTCTCAAACAAACGTGCAAGCATTTCCGGGACAAGTAAATCATTATTAGATCTATATACCTAATATTCAGTATTTGAGAGCTCCAATGAACAGATTTCTTAAAAACGGTGTAAAGTGGAATTGGACTGATAAGTGTCACAAGTCTTTTGAAGAAATCAAGAAAATGCTAACGTCAAACTTATGAACGCACTACGATTCGAAAGAAGGAATCGTATTGTCTTCAGATGCTAGTGGCTATGGTAGAGAAGCGGTAATTCTACATAAATATGATGACGGTAACATGAAAGTTGTCGCAAATATTTCGCGTTCCCTATTACTGGCACAGAGAAACTTCAGTCAGGCTGAAAAACAAGCATTAGCGATAATATTTGGATTGCAAAAAAAATCACAAAATTATACACGGATGCAGTTTTCGTTTACAGACGGACCGGAATTCTCTATTACAAATGTATGATATAAAAAAGAAATGTCTACGCATACAGTTAATAGATTACAACACTGAGGTACCATTGTTGAGGACTGTGTGGGGTTGAGTATTGTTGTATTAGGAACACGTGTGGTTTATTCATGCCCGAAGAAGGACCAAATACAAGAAAATGGCGGACTCAAATTGAGTCCAACTGAAGATGTAAAGACAAACAGGACCGATATATATGTCAACAAATATATGTATTAAAGATCAAATTTACAAGTGACAAAGACATTAACATCTGTGTTTCTGTGTGAACGTAAAGAGTTTGTATTTTGGTCAATGTTCGTACGTGCGTGTGTGTGTGTTTCATATCGTTTTCACACAAGTGCGCAAAACGTAGATTTCTACGAGAGATTAAATTTTTAAATGTGTCCGCTGAAATGCAAAGTAGTAAAGAGACCGAGGCAAAAAGACGCCCAGTATTTATAGTGTAGTGAGAGCGTCCCCTAGTGAACAATTAGGCAATTAAGCATAAGCTAACTCCGATACCATCTTATTAAATAATGATTTCAGGGTGGAATACCAACCGTCCAAAAAATTAGGACAGGCTGATGCTTTATCAAGATCGATACCAAAAAATACTGAACCATTGTAATTGCAGCATTAAAAAGTGAAATAGAATTTTTAAAAATATATTATGCAGTCTAGTACCCGAATTAACAGTTACCCGGGCAGAAATAAAAGTAAAAGCAGAACAAAACGTGTTTATTTCAAAAATAAAAAAGAACGTTTCCAAGATATTTATGTTGCAGTTTTTTGTGTATGCTATGTAACTAGTGAGCTAGCCCAAATGACTTGACTCACTTTATAGTCCACAAATAAAAGGTTAACCAATCAGAAGACATAGAATATTCAATCCGTCGTGTATAAAGGCGGCCATTTTCTTTACCCTACCCGAATGTCCAGTTCCAGCTTGTCAAGCGAAAAGAAACAGAAGGATGAACTACGCTCTGCTACTTTTACAGGGATATTCACTGCTAACTTCTGGATTCTATACTCGAAGACGACCGTCATCATGAACAATAATTTAAACGATTTTTAGAACGCAATCCAGACTTGAACGTTTACTCGCTATGTGACGAAGTACTGATGTTTGCACAAAGAATAGTAATACCTACCATATTACAAAAGTGGATATTAAATGAATTTCATAATTAATATCCGGAAATTTCAATGACGAAATCTCTTCTGAGCTATGTATACTAGACCAAAATGGATCAAGACATTGAAAAATTATTAAAATCCTGCAGAGGTTGCACTCTGGCCTCAAAATCACTTACCAAGAAATTACAACCTGGGGCAAAAACAGATACTCCATGGTCAAGACTGCACATAGATTTCGCAGGTGCAATAAACGGAACACATTATCTTGTGTTAGTGGAAAGCTTAACTGAAATTTGTAAGCGCAAAAAATCCATTTCCACGGTTATAGTGAATTTTTACACGAACTGTTTGGAAGATATGGCATTTCGGATGTCATAGTCTCGGATAACGGTACATAATTCACTGCTTACGAATTTAAAGAATTTTGTAAAATGTTTTTGATTTAACATTAAATACTCCACCGTATACAAGTTGAACGGTTTGTGAGTATTTTTAAGGAAGCCTTTAAAAAAGCAATTCATAAAAAAGTCAGCGAAAAAGCTCTAGAAAAAATTCTTGAGAGTATAAAAATAACGCCAAATCCTAATAAACTGTCAGGTTTGCACAAATAATTAAATCGGGATTCGACAAGTTGTTAACCGGTCAAAAAAGTATAAGAATTGATAACAAAAAAAAAAAACTTCAAAATTGGAGAGAAAAGTTTTTTCAGGGTATATGAAAATGGAAAATTAATGTGCAAAGACAGCGTAATAAGGTCACAAATTGGAAAAATGATATATTAGGTTGGTGCAAAAATAATGACGTAATAATGTCGTTTTTCGACGTTAAAAATACGTCAAAAAACGACATTATTACGTCATTATTTTTGCACCAACCTAATATATGGAGAAAGGAAAAAATAGGGAACACAAAAGACATTGAAATCAGTTAAAGAATAGGTTTACTGAAGATAGGTCCGCAAAAAAGGAACAACCTCTGCAAGTACTGTATTTCATACAGTATTTACAGAGGTTCTACTAAGTAGTAACAGCCCAAGAATTTCAAAAAAACGTACAAGTATAATTGCCAGAAAAGGAAAACGTACAGAGAAGAAGCCAGAACGAAAGAAATACCAAGGTCGGTACTTTGGCGAACTCGCCAGAATGTGGAGAGGGTGAATACTAACAGTTAAAATGAAGTATTTACTAATAAGAAAATCTCAAAACAGAAAATTATGCAGTATATAATATCCCCACACCGGTAAGACAAATAATATAGGCAAGACGCCTGAAATAAAGAACGGAGTAAGGAGTAATTCACCACAGTCAAGCTGTCTACTGCCTGACACGCGATTGTCAAAGCTCTATTTTCAGACAGAGGGTGATTCAGTCTGGGCCCTGTTTTTTGACGTAAATTCGGTCAGAAGAATAAACAATACATATGCCCGATCCGGTGGTTCGGATGCTGGGTTAATTTTGACTATTGTCCCGAGTGGACACGCTCGGGTACCCCCCCAGTAAATGCGTTTGTGTCACATCTCGTCTTAGTGGGAGTAGCAGGAAAATACCAGTTCGTCGGAGTCTGACAGTCCGCTATCTGGCTCGCGATTGTCAAGTTATCTGTCTCCGGGCAGAGTATGATTCAGTCAAGGCTCTGTCTACGGATGGAGACTAGGCTGAGAAAAATAGGCAATGCAGAGGGTAGAGTCACGCGTTTCTGCGGGATGGGTATGTTTTCACAATTAGCCTGAGTGTACGAACTCGGGTTTCCCACAATAAAGTCGACCTTCTGTCACATTTCGCCTCCGTAGGGAGACGAAGTAAATAGCCATTCGTTGCATTCAGGCAGTTTGTTTTCTGACTCGCGATTGTCATGATTCTCTGCCTTCGTGTAGACAATGATTCAGTCGAGACTCTGTCTACCTACAATGATTCAGGTGAGAATAAGACACAATACAAAGTGCACGACACTGCGGTTGCAATATCTGGATAAATTTTCACTATTGGCCCGAGTATACGCGCTCGGAGACTCCACACAAAAGTCGACCTTGGTCACATTTTGTCTTTATCGCGAAGACGGTCCGTCGTAGTTAGGCAGTCAGGTGTTATGCTCACGACTGTGAAGTTCTCTGTCTTTAGGCAAATTATGTCACCGCCGGGGCAAATATCTATGGACGGAGTTTCGGCTGAGAAGTTTAGGCAATGCAATGTGCCACATCCAGTGGTTCCAGTCATTGGTTAAATTTTGAGTTTTACATCGAGTGTATGCGTTCGGGTTCTCCACAAAAAAATGGACCTTTTTGCTGTGTGGCTTGCGATTGTCATGT